CACTCACATTATCGATTGATCTTGCTATAGACTCACACAATGTTCTATTGTATCTCTCTACCAGCCCGTTGGTCTGCAGGTGGTACAGCATCGATAATAGATGCTTTATTCAGAGTTTTTCTAACAACTTGTTGACTAGCTGGTTTCTAAAGTAGGTGCCACGGTCTGATAGAATTTTCGTAGGGCATTCGTGCCTACACACCCTCAAAGATAAAATCTGCTACACTCCGGGCGTCTGCAGTCGAAATGGCTCTGGCCTCTGGCCACTTGGTCATGTAGTCGGTTGCCACGACTATATAGCGTGAGTTTCTGGGTGTGATCGGTAGAGGTCCAACAATATCGATTCCCACTTTATAAAACGGCGTCATCACAGGCATGGGCTGTAAAGGTCCACTATATTTATTTTTTCCTCTTCTTTGGCACTTTTCGCACGATTGGACGTATCTTCTAATATACTCAAATGCTTGGGGCCAATAATAGGTCTTGCGGATTTTCTTAAACATTGCCTTAGCTCCGAAGTGTCCTCCGAGTGGGTGGTCATGCGTCAATAGGAGGATGGGGTCGATTTCGTACTTCCGTACCACTTTCAACGGTTGGTCTTGATTCTTATTATTTACCCTATATAGTTGTCCATTCTTTAGGCAAAATGATTTACTATTATTAATTAATTGTTTCTTCTGTCTTTTCTCTAGGTTTTCTTCTATGTATCCTTCTTGTAGGTATCTTTTCAAATGATTATAGTCTTCTTCTTCTATTTTTTCAGATTTCTCTTGCCAGGACACCAACCACCTGGACTGGATTGGGTTTATTGTCAGATTTACAGTATCCCTTTTTTTTTTTTTTTTTTTTTTTTATTCTTCTAATTCTTTATTTCGAGTTCTCCCGCTTTCAGATTAATCAGCTTTCGATCGCTTCGTTGGTTGGCTGCTTTTTCGGCGTCGATGGCTGAAATGTTCAATGGTTCCAAATATCCTAAATCGATACCCGTATCACGTAAGTATTCTCGTCTAATTAATTCTTGTTTTGCCCCGGAGGTTATCCATTCTTTCAGTATTAACAATTTTCTTGGGTCGGATGCCATTAGGTTGAACCCTTGAAAATTAGTTCGGTACATGGCCTTGCGTCGATCGAAGATTTCTAGTGCAAGGTGTTCGAAGTTGGTCGGATGATAATATACTTGGTAGGTGTTGCCATAGGATTGACTGGGGCCTACATATTCCAAGTTTCTGCGATACACAGTTCTCAACTTTTCGTAGACTATTACAGGAGTCGATTGGGTTCTTGGTTCAAACAGTCCTTCCTTGGGTTTAGGTGAATCGGTTCATTTCTTATCTACTTGATTTTCTTCTCCCTTTCTTTTTGAGCTGCTTTCCCCATTTTCTTCTACAGCAATGTATACTT